AGTGATAATAATAAATAATAATAATAATAATAATAATAATAACTAAAAGTGTTAGTAATAATAATAAATACAAAATAAAAAATAAAAGAGCCATTAAATTAACTATTTATGATTTTTTCTTGAATTAAAATAAATGAAAATATAAGTGCAAATTAAAAGATAAAAAATAAAATACATATAAGAAATTAAAATGACTTATATAAATTTTTCTAGATTTTTTTGAAATAAATGATACAAATATATAAATTTAAATTAATAAAAGAACATATTTTTGACAATTTTTTAGTAAAGAGTTAAAAATAGTAAATAAAAAGTAACATGATGCTAAGTACATTTTTTAATGATTTTTTAAATGGAAAAGAAATCATGAATAAAACACAATAAAAATCAAATTTCACTAAATTCATAAACGACTTCTAATGTTTCTATTTTTTCGTGATTTTTCAAAGCATAATCAGCTCTTGACTTGTAAAGAGAAATTGTTGATGATATCAAGGAGAATCATATGCAAAAAAAACCGCTCAAAAATGTCAAAATTTGAAGAAGTTATAAATTTTTGAAATCTAACTCAAGAATTAGCAAAAAATAGGTCAAATCACTCGTGAACACTTGTTATGCAATGATGCAAATGGAGGGTGGGATCTTAGGTCAAAAATTGAGGTATGACAACATGCATCCTCTTTGTCCTCAATATCCCCAGAAAAGTCACACAACTTTTCTTTCTCAAAAAGATATTTTAAAAAGTTTAAAGATTGATTGATTTGCACAATTAGATTATCATGCACGATTTGGATAGTATCATACACTATTATAGCCTTTTCTCTTGTCTTCTCTTTCCACATATTAAATTGACTTTTACCTTAAAACAGACAAACATCTTCATTTTCTCAACCTCTGCAACATCTTCATCTTCTTCCCAACCTGATAATCCTGAACCGAAACTTGATTCAGAGACTTTTGTTTCCTTGATAGATTTTTTCATCGTTAAGACTCTCCACGGACCATGTAAATCCTCAACCAATTTAATAAGAAACATATCCTTATTAATCTCAACTTTAATAACTTCATTAATCAAAGATGCACATCTTGTTCGAACCATGAATGTAACAAAATCTATTCTTGACTGTTTAATAGTAATATCATCATAACAATTGTAAAAACCATCATAGAGGATAAGAATTCAAAAAATTCAGATGACCATGCATGACATGGTACCCCAAAGCATCTTATCTATGTAACTGTATCAAGATCAATATCACCTTATCTCAACTTCTTTACTTCTGAGAACCACTTCTCTAGCCAATATTTGGCTCCTTCCACTAAAGATTTCAGCTATCCCTTTTCACTTTCCTCTAGTAGGCATAAATTTGATCTTAGTGGTGTCACCTTGACTGTAAAGTAACCATGTGAGTGGAATATATTATGAATATTATAAGCTACCCTTGTGTTTGTCTCCATCCCAATATACGCCTTTTCAAACCTAACAAGCTTGTCTTCTACTGTAAACTTCATATAGTTGATAGAAGGTTTCCTTCCACCGCCTAGTATTCCTGAGATTTTGCTATCTTTTCTATAAGATTGTGTCACTTCAGCGTAAGATCTTTTGATGTCATATGCAACACGAAATATTTCAGTAATGTGGTGTTCATGTTACTTCCTCCTCTACCATACTCCCTTCATTCTCTTTTATAAGCAAAAACTAACTTTTTAGATTCATTGAACAAATAATATATCTAGTCTATATATAGTCCAAATACATTATTTATTGAATGAATTTAAAAATTCAAAATTTTCTTATAAAAAAGAACGGAAGGAGTATGCATTATTCATCTTTTTGAAAACTAGATTAGCTAGATCTTAATCACTTCGACTTTCTTCGTAGTTGATCTGTTTCTCTTTCTCCTTCTCCTTTACACTCTTATCCAATTTTGACAAGTTTGCAAATAATTTTTATTTTATTTTTTATGAATAGATTATCCAACTTCAACACTAATTTTCTAACATCTTCAACACCGGAGAACTTAGAAAATCAATATCTTCTCCGTCTTTGATCTCTTCTAACGTGGATAAGACTCGATATTAATTTTTTTTTTGTTTAGTTTTGGAGAGAAAATAAGATAAAATAAAAATAAAAATAAAAACAAATAATATGATATTTCCTTTGATAATTTTTTTATTAAAACCACTATTTATTGTAGTCATCAATTTGACACATCACACTCTTAATATTTTTTTAGTTACTAGATTAAGATTAAACAAAATAAGATCAATTACAAGAAATGATTGCAATTAATTTAATTTAAACAGAATTTTTGAGTTCGAACTTAATTCTAAACACATAGCTATGTAAAAATTTTTGAGAGTATATATATATATATATATATATATATATATATATATATATATATATATATATATATATATATATATATATATATATATATATATATATATATATATATATATATATATATATATATATATATATATATATATATATAAGGAAAACACACTAGTAATAATGGGCAACGTTTCTAATCTGTTTTTCCTAAATGTGCAAGTTCTCTAAAGTGTAAATATAAGGAATTAATTTCTTAAACCGCTGAGCACCCAATTAAGGTAAGTATTTAAACTTCATTGGACATATAGCAATTTGAGAGATGACCGTTTCCTTTTAGTTTATGCTTTCCAGCCAGAGAACTACTTGACATAGCAACAAACAAGTTGGATACTAGGCAAGGCCTTCTATCTTGCTCTTTTATTTTCAGTTTTTGTTCTCATACCTTCATATAAATTTTGTTACTGGTAAAGAAAATATTCTTTTTTTTGTGTGTGTTTTGATCTCGTTCTATTTTGATAATAATAATAATAATAATAATAATAATAATAATAATAATAATAATAATAATAATAATAATAATAATAATAATAATAATAATAATAATAATAATAATAATAATAATAATAATAATAATAATAATAATAATAATAATAATAATAATAATAATAATAATAATAATAATAATAATAATAATAATAATAATAATAATAATAATAATAATAATAATAATAATAATAATAATAATAATAATAATAATAATAATAATAATAATAATAATAATAATAATAATAATAATAATAATAATAATAATAATAATAATAATAATAATAATAATAATAATAATAATAATAATAATAATAATAATAATAATAATAATAATAATAATAATAATAATAATAATAATAATAATAATAATAATAATAATAATAATAATAATAATAATAATAATAATAATAATAATAATAATAATAATAATAATAATAATAATAATAATAATAATAATAATAATAATAATAATAATAATAATAATAATAATAATAATAATAATAATAATAATAATAATAATAATAATAATAATAATAATAATAATAATAATAATAATAATAATAATAATAATAATAATAATAATAATAATAATAATAATAATAATAATAATAATAATAATAATAATAATAATAATAATAATAATAATAATAATAATAATAATAATAATAATAATAATAATAATAATAATAATAATAATAATAATAATAATAATAATAATAATAATAATAATAATAATAATAATAATAATAATAATAATAATAATAATAATAATAATAATAATAATAATAATAATAATAATAATAATAATAATAATAATAATAATAATAATAATAATAATAATAATAATAATAATAATAATAATAATAATAATAATAATAATAATAATAATAATAATAATAATAATAATAATAATAATAATAATAATAATAATAATAATAATAATAATAATAATAATAATAATAATAATAATAATAATAATAATAATAATAATAATAATAATAATAATAATAATAATAATAATAATAATAATAATAATAATAATAATAATAATAATAATAATAATAATAATAAAAATAATAATAATAATAATAATAATAATAATAATAATAATTACTTTAATAGAAAATATAGTATTTCTTAAGTTAATTCATAATTCACATGTCTCCAAATTCACGTTTCCATAAGTGGATGTTTGGTCACTTCCACGGCAAAGCTAAAAAGCAGCGTCCTCACTAATCTACCGTACCATTTCCGGACAAGACATTCGGTTCTAATTCTAATATTTTGGTACAACAAACTCTTTATTTGTTAAATCAAATGAAAGGGAGGAATTGAAGTTTTTTTGTGTTCTGATAGAGAACAAAAATGAATTGTGAAGGTTATTATTATGAATTTAATAAATATATATCAATAATATAAAAGAGTTTTTATATAATCATCTAATAAAATATATCATTTTATCACGTTATTTAAATAATTTAAATAAATTTATACGGTTAATGCACAATCTTTTTCTCTATTATTATTTTTTAATAACTAAGATGCATTAAAGAAAACAAGTTACAACATGGATTTTGTTTATCAATAAAACTTATTTTATAGTGGAAAATTCAACTATTTTTGTCTCTTACTAACTTATTTACAAGTTTATCTTACAAATATAGTATATGTTGGGTTATATTTTTATACAAATTTTGTTGAGACTTTAAACAGAACCTCTATAAATAAAATTACGAGATTGATCATCTTGAATTAATCAATCTAATAATTGGATATTAGATTTTTTTTTTAAAAATCACAAAATCATCTAATTGTAAAACTAACTAGTAACTTTTGAAATATTAATTTGAAAAGCACTTCCTCTACTTGTTCTACACTCTCTAAAGTGTTTAAATATGACACACCTATTTTCTTTTCCTCAAGAACACAATCTATTCTCATTTCCTTGCAACCCTTCCCCTTTCATATCCACAAGACCAACATTAAAGTGTGAAAGAATGGACGGCCAAGATCTTTCGCCACCACAATTAGACACATCTCGACCGTCCCTTGGTTTTCCACTTGGCACTGCCCTACTTTTGATCATCATCTTCAGCTTAAGTGGTATCTTCTCATGTTTCTACCACTGGAAAAGTTTCGTTCACTTCATCAATCTCTTTCTGATCTTGAAGCTGCACAAGCACACGCCCACACCCAATCACAACCCTCCAAGCCTATATCCCAATCCATGGTAATATTTAATTTTTCATAATTTTTGTAACACATTATTCATAAATTTTTTGTTTCTTAGGAAAGAAGGGGCAAAGCTTGACGGTGTTGATGCGGGGGGATGAAGTGCCCAAGTTTATAGCTATGCCCTGTCCGTGTCAGCCGTCGCGGCTGGAAGAGATTGTTGTCAGCGTGGAGAACTCGCCGTCTAAACCACCGTGACGACCCACCGTAGCATGTTAAGCTTTAATCATTCATCATTAATTTTATCTGCCGTGTAAATACGAATATGCATTTTTCCAATAATTGTTGCATATATATCCCTTGGAATTTGGCAGAATGGATGAATTAAGAATCGGTAAGAATTTATAAAAAAGTTGCATTTTGTTATTTCCATGAAATTATTTACAGCGTTCACCGTGATTTATTTGGACATATATAATAAGATGCCAAACATGCATTTGAGAGGTCACTAAATTTTTTATTAGATTTAAGTGTTAAATATGTTTAAACTCCCTTTAAAGTGAGACATTTTTCAATTTTTTGTCATTTTAAATTTTTTTTTAAAGAATTGTCTTTTTTAAGTTAAAAATATTAACTTTTGATCCATCATACTTTTACAATTTATTAACTGAATTAACGATGATTATTAGCGATAAATTACTGTTTAACGATTGAATTAACGACAGTTTTAGCGATGATTTTAGTAAGAAGAATAAAAAATTAAAATTCATAACTTTAGATGAACAATTCTTTAATGAAATTTTTAAAAAGATGAAAAATAAAAATATCTAATTTTAAAAAATAATTTTAAATATATTGAACCTTAAATATAATATTTATTTTCTTAGCCAACGTTAAACGTGTCACTTGTCATGGGTATGAGACATTTTTATAGAAATGCTATCAAATTCAACTTTCCATATCAACTCGTATTGTTATGGTCTGCGTCGAAATGAAATCATATAATATAGAAACAATGAGACATTAAATGTAGAATAGGTAGACTCTTCTTTCCACTAGATAGATAATTCTTCGTGTGAGTATCTTATTAACTGTCTGATCTGACGGTTGACTGTAATACATGTCTAACCTTATGTGTTTTAGTTATCAATTGTTTCTCCTATTTAACAAAGGAAGCACGTTATTTCTCATATATTCAAACATTTTCTCATTCATACACCACTTTCACTCTCATACTAACATAAGTGTTGGAGTAATAATCTTGCAGATCAACTTCCTCTCCGCCGCATTGAAAGTTCAGAACTACCACAACAAGCCACGTGTTCTTACTTACATATCAACTTTGGCTCCACTACAGAACATTGACGTCATATGTGAGAATCAACTTTTGATTCCGACGATTTTCCATAATCAAATCTCAATACATTCAAATTTCATCCACTCGAAGTGCAAATCTCCATTTCTCAATAACCTCCCTCGAATTGTTACCTTGATTGAGTTTTGAGGCGGGAGTGAGGGTGGTACAGGGTGGAAAGGGTGTGGTTAATAATGCTTAAACTCACCCTTGTTCTTTTGACATGCCTACAAAAAATGAAATAAATCTTAGACTTTGATTGAAAAAAATCATGCACACTCACCAACACTTGCCCCATCAAAAACGTTCACATCAAATTCTTTACTAGGACTGTTAAACTAATAGTTGAACTGAATCGAACTACTAAGCCATACTAAAACTATTAGAGTTAGGGTTTAGTGTAACCACCTTATAGACTGTGCTCATACATAGATCCATTGTCCGGGCTAGGAGAGATAAAAGACAAGATATGGACAAAAGGCCAAGGAGGACACATAAAAGCTTAACTAGGTAATACCCCGGTTTGAGATCTTCATGCCTAAGTCGGTTGCATAGTCGGAGGCATATGTTCGTAGAAAAATATGAAAAGGCTCCAGTCGGGCTTATACTCGACATTATCCTTGGATCCAGATGTTACATAGAGTCCGACCTTGATGAGGCTGTTACAGAGTCACCGACCCATCAATGGCGTAAATGCTCATCAATACATGGCGGTGCACGTTATAATGATAAGCATCATTGGCAAACGGCGGACGTTTCTTGCCTTAAATGGCAACTCAGTTACGTATGATGAAGAGTCACAACAGTTTATATGTAGTGATCAATGAGATATTATGCACCTCTATATATAGGGATCCCCGACTGAGAGATAAGTAAGACCACATCGCTTGGAGATCACGCATACTTGTGTGACCCCTATGAATCCCTTAATATCATAAAATTCACTCCCACTTGCTTGAGGCTCTCCCCGATATCCTTCAACTAGCGGAGGAAGTCACCCATTTAGTGTTTAGAAAGAACATTTGGCGCCCCACCATGGGTCCTGGTAAAACTTTCTCAAGCCACATTATCTAAACACCTTTGAGTAGTGTCTTCTAATGAGGATCCCCTTCCAGACACGGTGCAGTTAATGGCCATGATCGAGGATCTTCACCAATAGAACAATACACTGCAGAACAACATGTAAGTCTTACAGATGAAGAGCCTAGACGATGTCGACCATGGGCTTGAGCTTTTGGAGCCTCAGCTATTATCCCAGGCTATCTGGGACGATCAAATTCTAGAGAATTTCAAACCTACGGCATTTACAACATACGATGGAAAATCTGATCCCCATGAGCACGTAATTGTTGTTAATAATATGATGGCATAATCGGGGCTAACGATTCGCTAAAGTGCAAGCTTATGGCCGGAACCTTCAAGGAATCGGCCCTGAGGTGGTACATGAGCCTTCCCAGGCACTCTGTTATTAGCTACCATGACTTCACCAAGAACATGGTTCAATAGTTCTCGGCAAGCCGACACTGAAAGGTGTCGATAACAATGTTGTCTAACATTCGTCAGCTCCGGTCAGAATCCCCGAGGGATTACATGGCCCGATTCAATGAGGAAACCATAAGGTATCTCATCCTAATCATGAGATATTTGTGGCAGCTTTCCAGCACGGTCTCCGGGCTGGCCAATTCAATTAGTCATTAGCCTAGAAACTGGCTGCCAACATGGATAAGATAATCCTCGGGTCGAGTGCTATGTAAAAGGAGAAGAGAGTAACATGGAAAAGAGAACTAGAGACGTGATAACGCTGAATCACACTGCATATTTGACCTCGATTCGCACATGTTTATTAGGTTTTATTATTATTTTCTTGTCTTATGTTTGCATTTTATTTTGTTTTTAGTTTTTTTTTGTCTTTCCTAAGCCTTGCTTGAAGAAATGAAGAAAATCGAGCTAAAAATCAAGATTTTGGAGTTTTTGCACTCGTGGCTTCCACCATGGCGCCCGCCATAGGGTCAGCCATGAGGTGGCCAACTTCAGTCAACTGCCAACTGCCACATTCTCCACTACTTCTTCATTTTTTGAGCATGGCGGCCACCACACCCCAATGGCGGGCGCCACCTTTTCAAATTCATTTCCCGCTCAAAAGATGTTGGAGGGCATTCTTGTGAAATCCAAAACCCTCCTAGGCCTATAAATAGAAGTGATTTCAGTTCTTCTTCTTCATCCAAGCTTAGTTGCACTAACTTAAGCCATATATTGTCCAATTGTAAGCGGTGATCTCTTCACATCGAAGAATTATTGCACGAGTCATTGAGTCTGTAATCAAGTTTGGAGCACTTTACAATCTTGCCGCCATTTTAATTTAAGTTTCCTTTATTTCAGTCAAATTTGTTAGAACATAATTTGGTTCTACATCCCTGCAAGAGTTTTTATGATAACAAACACATGATATATATATATATATATATATATATATATATATATATATATATATATATATATATATATATATATAATATATATATATATATATATATAAAGAACAAATATGCTCGCTAATAAAAATATCTTTATATGCAGGAAGTTCTGATGTGGAAAAGATGTTCTGATGTAAGGAGCATAGACGATCTGCCAGAATATCACTAGAAGTTCTGATTATGAGAGCATAGAAGATGAGAGTACCATGATAGAATCAGGCGCATCCCTTCTCAGAAGCAAATCTGTGTGACACGCTTATATGAAGAAGTTCTGTTACAACTTCTGAATGCACCAGCGCTGTGAAGCAGGATCTCTGGTACTCTGATCTGTAAAGTTCTGATACAAGCTATAAAGGATTCTCAACAGTAACATTCATCCTCTGATATCAGAAGTTCTGAAGCGTTACAATTTATCAATGCAATATAAAAAGTAACGGCTACAAACAGACAAGGATCTCTTGGTTTGGAAAGTTCATTAAATCGTGTTATGAACATACCAAAAGCATCTTCTTATGTCACTGTTGCATGGCCTATATAAAGAAGACAGAAAGAATAATTCAAGTGATGAACTACTGCGCGCAAAAAGAAGAATTCACGTGAAAGCACAGTAATGCAGCAATCATCTTTCATCCTCAAACGTTCATATTCAAATTGTGTAAAACATCATTGTTAGTGATACTGTTTTATTAGAAACACTATTGTACACATTTATTCAATTACTGTTTAGGCATTTCCTTGAGAAAACCGGGTTGTGGTTTTGGACTCAAGAAGACTTTGGCAATTGTCAAAGTAGTTTTGTAATCGAGATTGATTAGTGGATTAAGACCTCGTTGGAGAGAGGCGAAATCACCTTGGCAGGTGGACTGGAGTAGTTTGAGTTCAAATGAACCAGGATAAAAATCAACGTGTTCTTTCCATTAAATTTTAAGATTCCAATTCACCCCCCCCTTCTTGTGTTTTTCCCTTCTTCAATTGGTATCAGAGCACCTGAATCTGGGTGCAAACATTTAACCGTGTCAGAAAAAGATCCAAGGAGGAAAAATACTATGATGGGACCAAATCAGAACATCAGCAGCACCCCCCTAATATTTGACAGTGAAAATTTTGACTACTAGAAAGATATGATAAGAAGTTTCTTCCTAGCCTATGACGCTGACCTTTAGGATATGGTGGCTGATGGATACATGCATCCTGTTGATGAAAGCGGTCAAAAGATTGACAGAAAAAGAATGACAGATCATCAAAAGCAAGATTTCAAAAATCATCACAAGGCCAGAACTATTCTCTTGAGTGCCATCTCATACTCAAAGTATGGGAAGATCACAAACAGAGAGATAACAAAGAACATGTTTGATTCCTTGAGAATGACGCATGAAGGCAACACGCAAGTCAAAGAAACCAAAGCCCTTGCACTCATTCAGAAGTACGAA